TGTAAGAATCTCGCGATCGGCAGGACGTTCGAACCGGTGTACATTAAGATAAAATAAAACACGCCGGTGAGATAAATTTTCGACACGTCCGCGTTATCTCGCATGATCTCGCACAGCAGCGTGGCGACTCTCTCAACTAGAATCGGATCGAATGTTAGCAAAAGCTGTACAATATGCGGCAGGTATTGAAGGTCGGACAGCAGTCGCTTCACGCGCGGTAACGGTCTGATCACCGCGTCGTCGGCGTCTCTGCTTGGGAAGTATTCGCACATCTTGATTAAAATATTCAAGATTAATGTAGCCAGATCACTTTCATTTATTACGGGAGTCCCCCTCGCGACGAGGCTCCACTTTAATTGCGGCACTTGTGAAATCGTCTTCCACCCGTCCAGCCCTTGCGCCCAGACTTTCGTCTTGTGAGTCATTTGATTCGAGGCGTACAGTTCTTTCAGATCTTTCAGACTGATCGGTCCTTCGCGTTGATCCCCGTTGTTGTAATACCACTCCTTCTCCATCCGTTCCTGCTGCGGGCCCGCCTCTATCACGTTCGTCTGCGTAGGTACGACCGCTCGGGAGGTGTGCAAATGTGCCAGCGTCAATAAATCGACCAAGGTTCGCACCCCGTTTTGATCCATTATATCTTTGACATTTCGCCTATGTAATATGAGTTTGTTTACGAACATAACTAGCCTATCGCGCTCCGTTCTATCCGTGCAACGCTCCAACATTCCTAGTATATATTTTGTGTCGGAGAATGGACCAATGTCTTCGTAGTATCGACCGTACACTATCGTCATTGCTTGCAAGCAAAGGCACTTCATTTCGATTTTTGCAGTCAATAAGAATCTATGGTATAAATCATTAAAAAACTCGTATCTGCAACGGAAAGGTGATATTTCAAAGTGAACCTTTTTTACGCGACAGAATTGACGACGCGTTCGGTTACTTACGATTTCCTAATCGGGCTGTCGGGACTATCCTTCTCCAACAGAAGTCTCAAGTAGTAATCTCCAATTTTCACTTCATCCGAAAGACATTGATATTGCACCTCAAACTCCCTGTGATTCCACGCGATCAACGTTCCGCCGGCCAGGTCCTTGTCCGAGCTGAATGCGCGAATCTCATTTTCCAGCGCTATCCTCAACTCCTCCCTCGTTTTGTGATTCCAAATTAAGTTTGGCAGTGCGTGATCTTGATTAAATTTGTAATAGAACAGTTTCCAATTAGCTTCAGATTTAATTCTTTCCCTGCGCTTCCTCAACACTATCGGACGCTCTTTGATCTTTTCCCTCCGCTCGATGCCGATACGAGCGCCCCAATGCTGCAGAGCGTTCTCCACGTGCTTCTCGACTACCCGCATTTGCCGCTCAATAGCGATCCACTGTGGACTTTTCTTATTTTTCGACGCATGGTCTATAGCTATCTTCAAGTTGTCACGATTGTTCAATCTTTCTTCCTCCAAGAACGAGTCCGGCACTTTCTCATCGGAGTCCAAGTAATTCAATAGACCAACCGGCTAAGAAGAATTCAACAACGTTACGACAGTAGGTTCTACACAACGAAGAAGTATCCCATACTCACCATAATCCGTTTCAACAGTCCCATAGCCGTGGGATGTCCGGTCACCCACAAACCCACCAGATGTCGGCATAATTGTCGATGCGTCAACAATCGACTGTCACTGCCAACGGTGAACAAACTGTTCATTAGATGTCTCGGCAACGCTCCCTCCGCAAGCGCCAGCTCTTGCATCTTCGCCGCTACTTCGGGCGCGCCTTCCTCAATGATCGCTCGCATTATCAACCCAGCACCTTTCACCACAGCCAGCGAAGGATGTTGGAACAATTTAAACAGAGATCTGCCTCTCGCAGCGACCATCTCCAGAAGATTGTCGAAGTGTTTACCGTCGGTTGTCTCGCTGTACGGTACACATAGGGCGAACGTTAAAAGATCGAGCATAGCGGACACTACCAGCGCACCTGTACCGTGATTCTAGAATATTGCGAAAAGGACATATTGAGAAAAGGACGTATCGCACGTAACGACGAATTCAACACCTGAGCGTTCTGTACTCACAATATGATTCACCCACATCTCGAGCAAGCTTTCTAAAAATTTGTTGCTGCTGAGCAAACTACTTTTGTTTAATTGTTCCTGCCTTAAATCGCAATCATCATGCATCGGCTGCATCAGAGTGCAAATACAATCTATGGCAGCTTGCGTTACACCGCAATTCTGTCGCTTTAAAGCCTTTACGACCTTAGTTCCAACAGCTTCTCTAAAACCAGGAAGTGTTGTAAATGCAGTGAAACCGATTTTGCTAGCCACCAATCGTCGTAGTGCATGAAATTGTGCCTCTATCTCACTGTTTGTCTCTAGATCTTTGCTGATCAAAGTATTCAAAGCTCCGAGAATAATCTTGTCTTTGTTTTCAGTAAAGATTCCCTGTAAGTAGTCATTCATGATACGATGTGCTTGGAGTTGTAACGTTGTTACAGTCCATTCAAGCGGTACAACATCCTGGACAAACAGAAAATGTTACGTCTCCTTATGTATTTTTTTACTAACAGACTCAGATGGAAATATTTTGTCTGATTTGAAACTTTATAATCTTTTATTTTTCAATTGTATCGCGCGGCGAAAAATTTACGTAAAAAGATGTAGCAGCCAATGTTTGCTAAAGACATCCCCTCTGCAGTGGATTTCTTTCCTTTCCTTCCTTACTCTATTATTATAAAGCTTCGAAAATATTTCAATCTCTGTCAATGTACCTTAACCGCTTCAATGTGCTGTATAAATGTGTAATACTTTTATGGATATAAACATTTAACTCTCTCTCTCTCTCTCTCTCTCTCTCTCTCTCTATAATGTATCTCATTTATAATTTTAAATGCAATCATAGATAGAAAGAATGTATGCTTTATCTTACGTCTTGAGTAACGGAATAATTAAGACCACTGTACGGTATGTTTGCGTTAAACCTCTCCAGAATTTCAGCGAATGTACGTCCTCCGGGTGGTTGTTGAAGGAATTTAACATGCGTCGTCTCGACCTCTTCGTCGACAGGTAAACTGAGAGGTCCGAGTCTTTTGCCTCTAGCTATGGGATACATCTTCACATGAACATCTCTATTGCCGGATGCTCTCACACCATCCAGCAAAGACGCTAATAAGGAATCTCTATTCGTCGCGGTATAACTGCGCGTTTGACCATTAAGGTATTGTATGGTAAACAGCTGAGGGTTATCATTATCACGAACCAAAGTGAAAATATCCGACAATGGCCTGAGAGTACAAATGTTGTACGTCTGAGGATCTCTTTCCAGCAGGCAGGTGTCCGAGAGACACAGCGTTCTTCTTTGCGGATCCAAATGCCTGGAGGAAATCTTGTGTACAGTGAATTCCGAAACACTCGTTATATGCTCGTCGCCACTAAATTTCCCTAATCTTTGAGCAATGAAGTTGTCCAGTTTGATAGGCTCCTTCAACATCTTTATGTTAATGCCTAAATTGTTTAGCGCAGCTTCCTGTAACTTTTTTTTGATCTCCTCCATATGCACGGAAGCAAAGAGATGCAGGCGACCGAAGCCACCGCATACAATCACAAACCCATTGGGATAATCTTTCATCGTCAGCAGTCCCTCGAAATCTTTATAACAATAACTAGCTAATACCATGTTTGTTGCAGGATCTAACTGATCGAGACTGTACGGCGTTATTTCTAATACTACGGGTAATCTTGTATCAGACCAGTGGTGTTTGTAAGCTTGATATCTCTACAATTAAGATAATTGTATTTCACCAATGTTATTTGCAAAATTATACATAGCTTATCTCTTTCTCTCTTGCATATGTAGATCCTTTTGTACATACTATACAATATGTAAATGATACCAAAGATATCAAAATTATCGGCCATATGGCCCTTCCTGCAGAGATAACATAAGCCAGACTGTGTTACGATATATTTCAATATTAAGAGTACGTGCTATCGGAAAATGAAAGAGAAATGGAAGAGAGAAAGAAAGAAAAGCAAAAAATATACATGTACACATAAACTCACCAAAGTTTCTTTAGGTTTTTCAAACTGATTCCTGTATTTCAGAGCTTCGGTCAGTAAATGTGGTCTGTGCTCCGAACTAAACTTCATTGTATCATTCTTGCGCTCCTTACGCACAGTTATGGTAAATTCATGGGAGCCTAATTGACTTTTATTCGCTGGCTGTACACTTATGAAGTCAGAATACTCCCACTTGTTTGTAACATCTAATGTGCCAGGATTATATGTTGTTATCCCCATGGAGCCAATGGAGAAGATACGTTTGTACCTAATTATACGATTTAGATATGAGAATAAACATGGCATCGCTATTAAAAGAAAGATCATAGTGTTATCACAGTCTCGCTATAATTGATAAAGATATTCCAAATTATAATCGATCATGAGTAGTCTGTGACGTTTTAGATATTTACTCGTCGCTCTACAAATCTATCAAATATCTTTAACTCAATTATGGAAACCATCCTTTTACACGAGAAAAACCACACTTACTTTCCCTTCCATGAATGCTTGGTAACCAAAAAGCATGCCACATCTTGATTGTCCTTTATCGGCATCATTGTTTCATTTCTCGCGGACGCAATCGTACCGATCTAAACAACGTTTTAACAAATCACTGAACATTACTCGCACAAGACAAGTGGCGTAGGAGAACATTCGCGCATGAGTTATAAAATTACACGACAGTCATTATTCGAAGTACAGGCATAAGGGAAAAGGATATGAACTTTTTTACCGTGTACCCCTTGCCCCTGATCTTTGTTCGAAATACTTATTTAGGCACACTTTAATTCCTTTTATCTAACAAATGTCATTTTCGAAAGGTCCGTCAGCCTGGAAGCGGCCATGATGGTCGTGGACGGGGGTGTTACCGAACAGCTGTTTCTAGATGTCAGCACTGCGGCGTACGATATACGCAATGCTCACCTTTACTGCCAGTACCTATCTGTATTACCAAGCGTATTGACATTGTGATCATTACATTACATTAGTTAAAGAAAAAATGCAAAGAGGTTAACAAACATGGTGCGTTTTCACGCCGACATACGTAATTAATTCACATATAAAAAAGATTGTTTTTCGGATTTACCATTTGATCGACTAATACAAGATCATCTAGTCAATACATTCCACACTGTTTGATAGTTGGAATTTAAACAACACATTTTATAAATATTATAATATGACATTTGTTGTATTGTATGACTTGTGTATTAGGTTGGTTTTGAGTCAATATACCTACCATATAATAAGAGTTTATATATTGTACGCTATGTGCTCTCTCTCTCTCTCTATATATATTTCTTATTTATGAAATTATATGGAGTTATGTGTATACACAAAATTTTTATTGAAATTATTTATTGAAAACTTAGATGAGTGTGATCTCATATTCTTCCCTTTGGATTAATAATAATAAAATAATGAGATTGTCAATATATACAATATGTACTTTCTAGAACAATTAAAGCATGGATGAATGCAAAAGGTATAGCGAGAATGAGGAAGGAGAAATTATATCAGATTTTGAAGAGGATTTTACAGAAGAGTTATCTAACTATCCTCATATTTCACAATTTATATACAAGCTACGTGACCATATCAAGAAGCAACGGAAGAAAATTAATAAACTACGAAATAAACTTGCTGAACAGGTATATATCCTTGGTGATATAATAATTCTAATGTTTGATTATATGAATTAGTCACATATATAACTAAGAAATACATAAAAATGCATTAGATTGATATTGTGACTAATAAAGAATTAATATAGATCGACTACAAAAATATGGATTGTAGGAATCCATATTTCTATAGTAAAGGAATTGGTATTGATATTTTTAATGTAATCTTTCTAGTATAAATTGTAAAATGTTATATAATTGTTTTTTTTTTTAGAAACATCAAAATCTACTTCATGAGAAAATAAGTATAGACTGTGGGATTCAAACAGATCCTCTGAATCTCGATAAGTCTTCATCGCAAGATTGGAATATTAGTAACAATGATAGATCACCTAGTATAGTAGATCAAGTGAAGCAGGTAGCAGAGTCAGCTTTATTACAAACTGGTTTTGTATATGAAGAAACATCTGGAATGTATTATGATTATAATACTGGATATTATTATGACACGGTATATATAAATATATCATTAAACTCATATAAATCAAGATTTTCTGCGCTACATATCATTTCTTTTGATGCTGCACATAAAAAAGTGAAGATAATGAGCATGAATATTTATAGTACTAATGTTATTTCAAAGAGACAAGGCCTGTATTATGATGGAAATACTGGGACATATTACTACTACGATGAAGCTAGTAAGACGTATCAATTCCACAGTCAAGTCCAAGTTTGTACAAATGAAGCTACCAATACGCATCATCCTGTTACGCAAAAGAGGGAAGAACAGAGCTCTGGGAAAGTAGATAAGGTTTCTATCCAATTGATCCCATAGTTTTCGTGGCATGCGTTTATATAAGAAAACATTTAATATGTCGTTTTCGATTACAGGTTTCAGATGAGATAGATGAATTAATAAAGGACTTCTCAGATATATCAATTGAAAGATACAGGCGACACGCTTTAGGTAATTATCCTATGGTTTTAATGTGCACACGTGTCTCTCTTGTAGGATAACGTGAAAAAACGAAAATATGAAGAAGAAAATTCGGGAGAACCTGAGGATGGTGAATGTTCAGAGAGCGAGACTGACGACATATCTGAAGAAATTACTCCTGATCTATCTACTAATAGCGAAAGCGACCGTGAAGAGGAACCAGGTTTATTATTTATATATTTACTTTTTTATCTTTATTTTAGAGAAAGATATTTTATATCATTGTAAAATTGTTCTTTCATAAATATGTATCGTGAAACACGAAACATGAGAAAATTTATTTTTACGTTATATTATTAGATACTATTACTTGAAGCTATTCTTTATTTTTTATTTTATTAGTATTAATTTTCCGAAATTAGTTTCTAATTGTTCTTATAACAGAGAGGAAAATGTTCTACAAAAATTTCGATAGATCTGCTCGCTTCTGGCTTCATCAACTTCACATTTATATAAAGCTTCATTTATTACCTATTACTTCGGTCGGTAATAGGTTGATAATTTGCCGTGCTTATATTTCTCATAGAAACCTTATGAAAGGTTCAAGCAGAAAAAAATCATAATTGTGGAAAGATTGTACACTATTAATATAACTCGAGGTTACACATGCTAATTATCAACGAATAACATTATGGATTTCAAGATGAGAATATTTTTAATCTTAGATATAGCAAAAAGTTACCCACCATGCATGAGGATTATTGTGAAAGAGACTAATTTGGCGAAATTAAAAGTGGGATGCCTTTTCGTCGTAACATATACAGGAGGTTCATTGGGTAGAGAAGGAGATCACTCGGTATTGATACCGGATGTAAATATCAGCAAGGTATGATAACTGTTTCAAAGAATTCCCACTTTCATCATATATCCTTGCACCGCATTTTTCTTCTATGATATTAATAATACGACGATCCCTATATGCAATATTTACAGTACCACGCACGCTTTATATACGACGAAATGAAGAAGCAGTATCAAGTAATAGATTCTGGCTCAAGAAACGGCACATTTTTGAACGGCAAGAGACTGTCGGTAGCTAAACAGGAATCCGAGCCTCACGAGATAACGCATGGTTCGGTCATAAAGACCGGCGAAACAAAACTGCTGTGCCACATTCACAACGGAAATGAGACATGCGGTCACTGCGAGCCAGGTCTCGTCCAACGGAACATCAATTCCTGCGAAAGCAAAACTTGGAAGAAAAAACTTCACAAGGAGGAGCTACGGCGTCTAAAACACAAATTCGGAGTCGATAATGTTATATCCGGCAATCAATTCGCTTCGGGTTATCAGGATAGAGCGCAAGCTAGAAGACAATACGTGGGTTCCTCCGATCATCATGCTAAGACGCAACAGAGTTCCCTCGACTGGTAAGCATCTTGCAACGTTCAAAATAAGCTCGCGTTTTACTCACTGCGTTGAGACTCACCAAAGATTCATTGCTCGCAGGTCGATATCGAAGGACAACAAAGGATTCAAAATGCTGGCGAGAATGGGCTGGTCAGAAGGTAGTTCCTTGGGTAAAGACAAAGACGGAATAACGGAACCCGTAAGTCATCTTCTTATCGTTATTAACTTATCTCGACTATCGTACAGAACGAAAACGGGAAAAAAGTCTTGACGGACAGGCCGTCGCCAGGCTCTTATCTCTTGGAACGATTGAATTTTCGTTTCACGAGAAAATTCACTCGCCGTCGCAAAATGTATCGTTGCGGAAGGAGAAATGTCGGCTCGCTCGCGCGGAGAAGGAAGGAAGAAAAATGCAAAGTGTAGCGATAGATCGGGCCACGTACTTCTAATTTAGCACAGACAGGCTAGACTCGCACGTGTGCTGCCCGGAGAGGGAAAAATGAAGAGAAGAAGCGGATACACGCTCGACTCATTAGCCGAGCGCGGTCGTCGCAATCCGCGATATCTCCCCTTCCTTCCTTGTTTCCTTCCCAGCCGCGCCGATCTTGTTCCTGGCGGTCCGTCCGTGTCGCATTTCGACGGCATTTCGACGAAACGAGCGCCGTCGGCACACGAGCAGAGCATTCGTATGATAACGAGCGTAACTCTGCGAAACGTGGAAAGAAGAGACGCGCGGGCCGCGGCGAAGAGAGGTGCCCCGGGCTAATGAATGCAAATGTATTGAAATCCAAATCATTATTTTGTCTAGACGCATCGTATGCCCCATTGCATACGGTCGGCGTACGCGTAAAAGGATTAAAGGGTGGGATAAGGGGACTGTTATTTTCTCTCGTCTGGTACCTCTCTGTCCACTGTCGCCACCCATTCGCCCGTAGTCCCTTCCACCGCCTGCCTGTCTTTTTTGTCAAATTTGTCCGCCGCTCTCTAAAACCGTTGCTTCCGCTAGAGCCGCGCTTTTTGCTCGTAAAGCATCGTCCTGTATTTTCTACGTTAACACGCATCCTCTCGCTTTCTGATTTACTTTGAAACGAACGCGTAAAATGCTGACGACACATCGGTGTAATAGACAGGATTGCGGGTTATTATTCTTGCACGGGCGAGGAATGAGACCTCTTCTCGCGTTTCGCCTTCGAAAAGAAAGAAGGAAGAAGCACAGTCTGGCTGGAAGTTACGAGAGCGCCGCGACTACTTCGCTTTTACATCGGATCCGTTTTTACGTCTTTACGCGCGCCGCTTCACGCAGTTGCGCCACGTAAACGCCCGCGCCATCCTCGAGTGCGTTCTCGCATTGAGATGTGACCTATATCGTAAACGACGGAGACAGAGGAGAGAAGGAAGAAAGACGTGAGGGCCCGTAAACCAGACATTGTAAAAGCCGCGAATGGCGATTGCCAGTAAACCGCCGCGCGAGGATGCGATAGGTATATAAAACCACCTTGCGAAGGTGGTGTTATACTCGAGCGGATAAAATCTCGGCGGGTTCATTTATCTAAGTGCTTCAGCCGAGGTGGTGCGTTATACGCGAAGCGAATCGCCGTAAGTCACTTTCCAAACACAAATATTCCACAATGTATCGGCGGGCACTCGCGCGAGGACGATTTGTAAAAGCGCACGGGAAAATCGACGAATCCAAAGTTGGAACTATATTTCTTTATTTCGCCGAGCCGTAATAATCGCGACCCGCTCGAGCAACTTACAATCGGCGCGGACCGCCAAGTAGTCGCATCCGGAAACTGCAACGATTTCATTTTATAGACTTCCCTGAATATCGACTGCCATTTCGCAGATAGAGCGTACAACGAACCGCCAGTTTTACGATTTACATCCATTTCCATACTGCACCTGTTCGCGGTTTACAATCCTCGGCGGAAAAACTCGTCTGATTAATGACGCGATAAATAATCCGGAGCAATGAGGATTCGTCGTGCTTCCATAAAACCTGCGTTCGTGGAGGCGGCACACCTCCGATTTCCCGCGACGGACAAATCGTCGAAGGTATCTACGAGACCGACGAAGGAGGCGGACATTTTTGCTAAACGGAAAGGTCGTCAACTGACTCGCGAATGTTCACGCAGGAACCCAATTTTCGTCCTCTATCAGTCAGCCTGAAATTTTTTAGCTCGTCATTAGTTTGCCACTGTTCGTTAAAATGAATATAATCAATTTCGCGATTGAAATTCAAGAGAGAAGTTAACGAGCGTCAGTTTTGTCAAACAAAGTTTTTACCAGTCGATGGAGCAAATTAATAGCGCCAAATTAGCACGGAAATTTCGTTTCCGCTTGTTTGCCGGCGATATATGTCCGGCATTAATTAATCGGGATCAGGGAGAGGATGTTTTGAGAGCGCGCGAAAACAAGCGAGAAATCGGCTCGCGAAAACTTGTTGTTGCGCCTCATGTTTCTCCGCGCCGCGCCGTCTATTTGTTCGCCGTACCTTTTTCTGCCGACGACGAAAACAAAAACAGCGGCGAGAGGGGAGAAAGAAGGAGAAGGAGACGAAGAAAAAGGGAAGGGTTCGCGATGCAGCGGAAGCTGAGATGCACATACGCGCGGAGCCGCGGGCGTTACGGTGGAACGCAAGGTCGTTTCGATATTACGTAATGCAGAGAGGTAGAGACTGTGCAACGATTTCAACAATCCTCGCCGGAGCGGCGCGAGAAGACAAGATTTTGAAACTCCTCCCGCCGTATGGAATCGGCGTAAAAGAAAGGAAGAATCGTCTTCCCTCGATTGTCCCCCGAGAAGCTCGCCATCGGAATTTGGGGCGCGAGCGAATGAATGCAGCCGGAATGGGAACATCCGTGGATACCGAGGATATTCCTCTTCCGCCGCTCTGTACATTTTTTTTCGAGTCCCAACGCACGATTCCATGCGGATGTTTCAACACGCGCTCTCCAGATTTTTTCGCGTTTTTCCCAAGCCTTCCGCAAATCTCTCCTGTAATTCCGTCACTTTCATTCTCGAACGTGATTACAGCGGCGATATGTTTATGCCTTAATCGCGCAACTTGTTTGCATCCGGTATATCGGGCTCCGATCGGAATGTTTTGAGAGCATTATCCGCGAAAAACAGGCAAGGCCTACGGATACAAGAACAAATCGCCGATGTTGATTCCCGCGCCTCCGCGATTCGATAGCTTGTTGTCGTGTCATTAATCTTTTGTTCCTCCTTCTTATTTTTCTCGTCTGTTTATCCAACGTGCCTTTTTCTTTTAGCGACAACGAAAACAGTGTCGAGGGTAAAAGGAAGACGAAAGCGGAGATCGCGCGCCTACCACCGAGAAAACTTGCCGGCCGGTGTGCAAGCCGCGACAACTTGATTTTACGTACGTCCTCCTAATCCTCGATACAGTCCATCGGAGCGGACTGAATTGTCGCCAAATTCACAAGATTCCTCAGCAAAGTTTACAAAACAATGGCTTCCTTCACCAGCCGTAAATTGATAGACCTTTTATGGACCACTCGAGGATTCTCTTCTCGCGATTCTTCGACGTCTCCTCCATATTTTTCATCGATCATAACGCCGGCTTCATTAACGCCACATTAATGAGGGAGAGAAAGGGGAGATGTGCGTCGTCGGTTCCAAAAGCAGAATCGACGAAATAACGCGCAAGATTTACGATACGCTAACCGAATAGAAGATAAGAAAATTGAACGAAAAACGGAAGAAAGAGAGAAAGAAAAGCCAAGCGGCGGGAAGCAGAAAGAGGTAAAAGAGGGATGAGAGAACTTGTGGCGGCGCGTTCGGAAGAGACGCAGGAGGCAACAGGTGGGAAGCCACAGTCACAAATAAATCCAACGCAAACATCTCCGCTGTCTAGACGCCTATTCGTTGACTAACCGTAGGTAGGTAGGTACTAGATTAACGCGTCCTTCCTCGTCCTATTTATCTCCCTTGATCTTCCGTGTCGTAGCAAGCCCTCATTTCGAATGTTTTCCCGAGGAAATCGCGACGTTGACACGTTGCGTCTAATCAACGTTAAAAAAGCATTGGAAAAATTGGAAGTACAATGAAACGAAGAGTTACATTAATTTACCACGTCCTTGACAATTCATTCAAGCTTTTGTGCGCACACACAAGTCGGCAGATGTTAAAGGCTGCAGTATTTTTCTTTTTCTCGTATTCAATGTATCTCCTGAGAATGATTGAAAAAAACAACGCGGCTTCCTTTTTTATTCCGTCGCTGCTTCTTCCCGCGCGGTCGAATGGAAACGCCGAATCGACGATGCATCATTCGCACTCCCACGTCGGAGGTGTGGAAGAGTAACGATCATTTTCCGCATGCGATGCGGGGGAACTATCGCGATTCTCCCGGGAGAGAGAGAGAGAGAGAGACACGCGGAGACGGAACGAAATTAACCAGAGCTCAGCCAGGAGGAACCGGACGCGAGTGCATAATTCTGTGCACACACGGGAGGCCCGTATAACCACATCGTCGGCTTAATAGTCGGCATTGCCGTCTCTCTCGCGCACACCCGCCCACACGTTTGTTTGTATGTCGGCTGGTTGTCCGTAACGTTAGTTAGCTAGGAATATACAATCCAGTCCAGGAGAGCGGTCGATTGGTCTAGACGAGGTGTATGTATACAACACACGGTATCGACATACAAATATGTACAATGAGAGATTTATTAATTACCGCGTACCCGAACGTACGTTGCGTGCGTATCATTCGATCGTCACCGAGGAAGCGTGGCTGATTTTCAATTCATTCTACATTATACGTGAAACGCGCGTGTTAACAGTCCGGTATAATTAGGTTACTGGCATTTTCGTACATATTTGTTTCTCCGAATGCGAAGTTATCGAATCAGCGATAAGTCAACAACGCGAACAATCAGAAGAGCCCGGTCGATCCTTTTGTCACTCGGCGACGATTCGTTTGCTCTTACGATCGAGTACTATTGATTCGCCTGCATGCGTATGCATAGGTGGTATCCTTTAATGGTTTAAGTAGAGCCGGCGTATGAATACCACACGGGAGACGTCGGTTGCCCTATCGCCGCCAGACGGCTTCCGTCTGGGTAAACACACCGATATACCGAACAGTCTGGCTGGCAGGGCTTACCGACCACCTAGGGACATCCATCACTGGATTATCGCGGGAGTACGGTTAGGACGTGCGTGTATGCGTGATCGGTATGCATAAACCTCCATTCGCCTACCGCGTCTAGAGACACGAGCGTATGTTTCATCCGTGTATCACCGGATTCAAGTCACTTGCCGAGAATTTGACGAAATTCTTCCGTCGGATAAATTCACGGAAGTTGTATTTAAAATCGCATCTCAAACGCCGTACGTTCCACGGGTGAAATTGACCCGAGTCAAAAATGAAGCGAACGCTCACGAAAGAAATCCACGACTCGGAAGCCAAGTCAAATTTCGATCCTGGATTTCGGTCAAGGAGATTCCAGGAGAATGGCCTCGTGTGGAAAAAACATCGCGTGTGTTTTGACTGCGAATCGATTACTGCCGCCTCGGTTTACCTAGTTTAGTCTAGGAAGTCTAGAGCCGATAGACGGCCGCGAGCTAATTAATTCTGTATAAACATGTCGCGGTTCGACGAGCGGGAGATTACAGCCGAGCGCCTCGTCGGAGATTCCTCCGAGGTTCTTCGATATTCGACGACGGTCTTGTTTCTCGAAAGAGACGTACGTGCCGAGACAGCCTCTCTCTTCCGAGCGACACGTCCGAAACTCGAGGCGAGACGTCGTTTCCCGACGACTCGAAATGGGATTCCCTCGATGGGATTACATCCGCGTTCTCTCTCCCCATTTCGATCGGTCCGATGAATATGAGAAAAAGGGAGGAAGCGAGCGAAAGAGAGAGAAAAAGCTGACGTTTATTTGAGAGTTGCGGCGCGACATGGTGCATTCGGAGGTGGCGGCAACGACAGACACACTGGCGGCGTTGTAAACGAGCAAAGTTTCGAATCCAATATGCTGTCTCCGCGCTCCAGAGCCCATATTCAACCTGTCAAGGTGCGGCGCACGTGCGTCCACGTCGCTTCCCGGTATGCCAGACGGGTAAACCAGGACAAACTTTCGAACTGGCACAGACCGTCTGGCACCCTACCACCGTCGGAGAACCCGCGAATTCCTAATATGTTATTGTACGCCGGCACCGTTTTGTCCGCGCGCGATCGGATACGGACGGTGTCTGGGTTCTCGACCCAGGAATTTCCTTCCTCTCCAGCGAGTGTACCGAAAGTTTTCCTGAGATTCTTTCGCGCTTCATTAATCGCTTCTTCTCTTAAACGAACGGCGCATTGCACGCAATAGAGTTTCGCGTCGCACGCATATTCGGTACATCGACGAATCAGCGTATACGCATTAAACATGTCTGGGGTTGAATTAAGCGAGCGAGAGAGAAGAGTGGGAAGGGCAGGGCAGACGTCGCGACGTGTCTGCGCCATCTAATCGGTAATCACGGTACATTGCCTCCGCTTGGCCGTGTCGCTCAATCAGCTGGTGTTGGCCTATTTGCCTATTTTCTACCCTCCTAGTTTTCGCCTCGCTGCGAGACGAGACTGTCAATTTGCGCGGTGTCGCTCCAATTCAAATTCTATTCTACACTCTCAAATACTGTTGTGTGCGAGAGAGGAAAATTTTTCTCTACGATCGATGTACTTGAATAATTGAGTCGTCGATGTGTCGCTAACGTTATTACGGCAGGAGCTATTTCGGCTCCCTCTCCGCTTCTAACGAAGTTACGAAATCTAGGTCGTGGCGCTGGGACCGGACAAAATAATTCAACGGTCCGACGGCGATACCCACGACGGGACATTGTTTAATGAATATTTCACGTCGCTCACCTTTTCGCCGTGCAGACCTCCTCTCCCCGATATAATCGATCCCGCGCTGCTAAGACCTGATAATTGCGGCCCGATTGAGAGAGCGCGATAAATAATCCGAATATTCTCTCTTCCGAGCGAATCCCGTTGGCGCTTCGAGTGAGCCAGCTGTAACAACTTCCACGGTCGATGGCCCGTTGGCGTCGTCGCTTCGGACTAAAGCAATAAATGCTTGTAAACATTCGTCGATTAACGGCCGCCCCGTCCGAGGCGATTAGGGTTAAAGTTAAGCGACGAGACCGGCAATAACGCGCCTTCTATCCTACAGATGGATTCCTCCGTCTGGACGATGCTGGGCCGCAAACGGGAAGAGAAAACGAACCGAGTTATAATATATAAGTGGTCTAGACAGTCCAGACGGATGCATCATCGCTATCATCGTCGGAGTGAGAAAGCGAAACCTCTACTGCTTGTCAATCGAGTAACGACCGGTCGTTTTACGTGCTCTACGACCGTCGTGAACTCTTGGCGTTCTTACACGATTCATCGAACGCATTAAGGGCTTTCGCAAGACTCGAGAAATCGCAGACGAAATTAGCGAAAGTCCGCGTCCGGATGAAATAAGGTTGACCCAAGGGTGGTCGCTTATGAATTTATCGCGAGAGAGAAACAGGATCATGGAGAAGAGCTTGACCTGGGCGCGTCTTTCTTCTCGCTCTTCTCCTCTGTACTTTAGTTTTCGTCTCTAAGTAAGTCAAGTAACGACGGTACTTGTTTAGTAGGTAGATTGGACACTTGGCCCAAATACAGCCGGCTTTTCCGTCGAGTTTTGGCGAAAAATCACCTCCTTTCTTGGGCGAACGTTTGGAAATTGCACTGTAACGAAGAATCGCGGTTTTCTGTAATGTTGCAGATACCTATCAAAAGCAGTCACAACAAGAGCGGTCTCGGATCGAGCGAGGTGGACTTTTCCAACATCGAGATGGACGTTAACGTAGAGAAGAAACAAGCGGTATGGCGGAAAGCACAAAAACGTTACAAAGAAATAACGGATTGAAACTCGTTGAGATATCGCCTCGTGTTACATCGGGAAATAACTCTTACAAAATAGTTTAATACCGGGCCCTGAGTGGGCTGAAATAACTCTTGCGAGGATTTACAATGATATAATATACTGAATCTTGATGTGGAATTTTGTATATATGAGAATATTGTCTTTCAATTATCGACAGGAATCAATGTTGAGAAGTACACGTAGGCCAAAGTTTTCAAATACATGTACTTCGATAATGTACCTCAGAACACAACATCACGGATCGAGATATTTTTTCATTATATTTATATTTTAATTAATTTAATGCCTTTATATAATTCTTTGTTTACAAATAAAGAATATCGTGATCTTCGCTTTAGTTCAAGCGGTAATGATTCTATGGCTACGTAGTTACTTACGGAAGAGACTCGTCGGTGGACGCCGTTCCATCACTTTTAATCGTGCTTGTATATTTGGTTCTCCTGAGTCTGAAAACGGGGATTAATGGCGAAAAAACGAGGAAAACGAAAAAGACGTGCGCGTTTCTCTCTCTCTCTCGTAGAGAAGCGGACCCACTGTACCGATAGCTATTTTCGCCGATAAGATGGTATTTGGGGAGAAAAGGTATAAAACGAGAACGAAATTCGTCGCGTCGTGGTGTAAGCAGCGATAAAACGGTATTCGAGGACGAGGGTGAATCGAAGGATACGTCGCGCCGCACTCAGGAATCTCCGAAAACATCGCTGACTAATTTCCAGTCCTTCTCTCTCGCTTCTTTCCTTTCTCTCTTTCTCGTTCTCCTCGCGATAAAAAATCGATTTTATATCATCGGGGTACCTGGGGCTAATAGCGTCCATTCGCGAGGCCCACTCAGGGCCCGGTATTAAACTATTTTCTCCGTTCCAGTCGGATTTTATGGAGCTTAAAAAAATGCCGCGCGCGACAGGACGAGAGAGTGGAGGGGGGAGGACGATCAGAGATCTCGAGAGTTTTAAACTGAGTCACGAGTCTGGCCGTTACTCGACGAGAGAAACCAGTGCGATTCTTCTCTCTCTCTCTTTTTTTCCTTCCTTTTCTTGCCGAGGTAGAAATCGCGGATTTCGCAGAATTCTGTTTCGTCCGAGTCTACCTTACACAAGCGACCTCGGCGCGACAAAATCTCGGTGAAGGCCGTCTCGAGGTAAACATGTCGCCCTTTTAATAACGATCCGTGAAAACGCTTTCTTACGCGCTAATCCGCCTTTGTGTGCGTCTTATGTGATTTTCATCTAGTTTTATGGCTTTATGGGACATAACGCGTTACGTTAGCCATCGATGACTTTCGAAGGGCGACGTTACTTTTAAGTTGTTCGCTTGAAAGTTTATCGAATCAATTGCGTCGTAGTAACACATACATACATCAAATAGACTGTGCGTCAAGCAAATAAAGATACTTAAAGGCTCCGCCGAAAACTTTCCGTTGCTGCATAAGCAGGTGCACTAGAAGAAGAGAGAAAGAGGAGGAGTAGTCGGTGAAGAAGGATAAGAGCAAAGGGGGAAGTACGGGCGGACAAGAAGGCAGGAAATTGGCGGGGCTAGAAATAATTAGCGCGGTTATTTATGAGGCTCTCCTCGCCTTTCAATTATGCATTTCCGGGCGCGGGAACGAGCGAGCTCACGGCAAAGGAGGCGAGCGTCGCGATGCAGGCTGCCTGCTACGCGTCTTACGTTTCCAATTCTAATCCGCTAATTCGAAGCGAAAGCCGCGATAATTACGTCTCCTCTAGCGTTCGTTTTGTCACGTGAACTTTAACTTAACGAGGATAACTTGGTATTACACCCTGCGAAGGAAAAGAGAGCTTTCCCTTCTAATTGGAAATTTCCCTCAGCTTCTAACTTTCGAGCGATTTTTCGGGAATCTCGATTCGTTTTGTGCGATGCAACTTTCTCGTTGGACTTTTTCCCGCGTTGACGATGTTGCGCGTGACGAATATTTCTTCAGGAGATTGAGAAAGTTATTCGTTAAAATCTCGGCAACTTATTTATATCGTTAACGCTATTGTAAAAAAGAAAAAAAAAGAAATTCGTTGGCGAAAGGAAGTAAACGGTGTTAACACGTTAACCCTGTGAACATCGCAGTTTACGGAAATGTACCGTGCGAGTGGTAGAGGAGTATCGGCGGAACCCAGGCGGAGATCTGGGTGTCTAGACGCGGCAGTAACGCCAGGTCAAATCGGTGCTAACAAATGGCTCTCGTTTGTTGCCTGTCAGCCATTTTTCGGCCCCCTTTTACTAGTGGACAGGCCTCATCTGGCCTTGATGCATCCCCCTTCCGACTGAAAGAGGAAAAGATAGAGAACCGACTCCTCCGTCTGGCCGTTCTCGTTTTTCCCTATTTTTCCGATCCGTCCAACGATCGAGAATTCGTTTTCCCCCGTGTGTGTTCGCGTGACTTAGTTATATTATAAATCACGCAGAAAAGCGAATAGAAAAAACGGATGCGCACAAAACCGTCGTAATGACACAGCTGCGCAACGGTAACAAGCGATAATGTTACGTTGTACCGTTGGAAAATTAGACGGTTGCCGCGAATCCTCGGAATCGATCGCGTATGTAACGATCTCTCGATGCGCGATAAAACCTCTCCGGTAGATCGCGTCGTTGCCGTTAACACGTCGACAGTTCTCTACGCGCGCGAAACGGGATAGAGAACGGTTGAACGTCGCGAAAACGTTACATCCGTTCGATTTTTCAAACGCGATCAATTACACTTTATACATAATGAGACGCGGTAATATTACACTGCGTGCAATAACAGTTAGGCTGGATTCACAGTAACCGATTTGTCAATACTTGATGCTAGAGATATTGAAAGCATTGAGGAATATTTGGACGGATGATAAGCAGCGTTAGCGAAGACAATCCGGGGATGTGCACGCGAAGAGACGAATTGCGGTCGTGTAATTCGAGATGACGCCTAGCCTACATCGCGAGACAGCGGATCGAATTCGCGACCATTGTCCATTACCGCTAAGCGTATCTGGCGAGCACACTTTCATGCCACCTGCGTTTCAAAGCCGCAAAATGTGATTCTAGATAATGCGCAGGTGGTCGTCGGCGCGCTTAAATCAATACGAAGGTATCGCGTTGATCGAAATTCCAACGCTCTCAAAAGTACTGATTACCTCCCTAATGAAACCCGATGAATGACGCTGTTCATTATCACGAAACGTTCTAATGACTTTATCGCGTGTACACACGGACAAAACCGCCGATCAGATGCATAATTTTCACACGAGCAATAATCAGGCGTGTTTCTACGATCCGCAAGTGCAATAATGCGAGTACCATATGTTGCGTTTCCGCGTTGTGAAATCCGATGTTCGTATCGTTCGCGGAGGGATTTCTTTCGGTTTTTCTTTGTTTTAGACGTTATATACGCGCACCGACTATCAATTATATGCAAATCAAACGGGTTTCCTCTGCGGGAATACTCTCTCGCAACGATACTCCGCTGCGATTCACACCTCTGCGCGAAACGTCCCTTGAATTTTGCATCCGAAATGAAAGCGGAAGAAATCGGCGTAAAAAATTTTCTCACGCAAAAAATCGGACGGTTGATTCGCCGACAGAAGTTAGTTTATAACTGAAAATATCCCGTCCGATAAACGCAACGAGATGCGACGTTAATGCGGATAAAGGGAATTTCGCGGGAAGAATTCATTGCGCGAGAGAACGACGGCCGTAATCGCGGGAGCCGGCGAGCCGGATGTTCGACCGTAGGCACCAACAGAAACAACAAAGGGTCCAGTTCTGGCTGGGTAATAATCCATGGCTGCTGTTAGCGTTTGTCCACCGACCGTTCTAATAGACAAGCGCGCCCATGTATGCGTACCTCTGCTGCGCGCGGTTTGTAATTGAAGGCTAGGAATGCGGACGCACGCATGAAGTAGCAGACAGTGCAGGATACGCTTTTGCAATGTACCGCGCATTTATGTATTGCCAAGGGAGCGTGCGTTAATTAACAATAGAAAAACGAGTGTTCGTCGATCTTCGTATGCTCCCGGAATCGTTGAATTCTCCTGATATAATCGAAAAGACAAACTCTCCTCCGCGTTCAACATCGAAAACATCCATCTCGAGGAGTTCAGTCACCCCGGGCGCGTGCACGTGTTCGCTATTACACGTCACAACAATAATAGTAAGTACGACTCGCCAATTCGTCGCACAGGACGCGGACTACTCCCATAGGACCACGAAAGGACCGCCTAATCTATGATACAAGTGGGTCTTCCTGTTTTGCAGATTGATCTATGCTCCCAGACATCGCAATGTGGCCCTCGTAAAGCAGTGTCTCTCATCGCTTCGTCTTGGATTTCGGTAACGAGCGGTCTCTTTAGCACGCTCGCTGTGACATCAGATATGCGACGACTCGATATCGTATTAATCTCCGGAGCAAGTATCAGTTAGTTGTGTCTTCGTCGTTCGCCAAGAGACAAAACATGCATACCGTATCGATGCGATAGACACCGATACTATAAAAAGATACGATCGAGTTGCACGACCTCAGAATTGTGCAGCAATTCTTGATTCTTTCTACTCTTTTATTAATCTCTCGTGTGACGAATCTTTGCGCACCTTCGAGTTGTCTCTTTCGCGTTCGAACGCACCTTTCAGATATCGCTTCGCACAACGACTAATAATGGATCAAATGATCCCGTTGAGGTCACAAAAATGCGATCATTGCCCGTGGAAATGTTCGTGACGCGTAGATAACCCTTTCATTCAGCGGATCACCGGTATAAGTGCTATAAATAGTTTCACGCCGCTGAATGAGACGAGTTCCAGGAAGGCGAGGCAGACGCTTCTGACTCGTCGGGGACAAGAATATCGCGTAGGAGGAGGCGACTCGTAAGAAAGTAGTGAAGCTTCTACGACGAAAAACTGCCGCGATCGGTCCAATGTTGCTGTCACGTGTGAAAATATCG